GGATAACTACTATTGGGAACAGCATAGCTCCTAGTTAGTTATATCGTAATTGTCGAAGAGGGTATGGTAATTTTCAGAGTCTCTAAGTGTTCACACCTTTTAAAGAATACCTGACATTGTAAGTTATAATCAGAGAGATACATAGTTGTAATATAAACAGATGTAGTCTACAGAAACTCAGATGCAGAATATAAATATCGAAGTACCTCTCAAGCTTTAGACATCATCAAGCAATGGAGAACAGACCTTAACAATATAATATTGTTTTTACAATTCTATCTTACTTTACCAAATTTACTTTGCTTTTAGTAGTTATAAATGAAACAAGTGAATTGGAGCTTTTCTAGACAATCTCTTTCTACAGAAACGAATATTGGCTAACCCAGATAACTCTGAAGTCTATCAAATTGTCTCTGCCTAATAGAGAGACTTCCTGTGAATTAGTAGAAAGCTATTCAGAAGATATCTATTAGTTGAATTCAGAGTTATGGAGGTTTAAAGTCAGGTAACTTAGAAAGGTTGCAATTACAACTACCTTTACAGATACAACCTGCAGATAAAACTGATCATTGCATTAATGATGGAGACAATTGGGACTAACATAGTTCAACTTGAGAACTGGGCCATGGGTTTAAAAACTCCGAAGATCAGATAATTACCACCAGGAACAGTCTAGTTCTGAGATTAGTAAAATGATAATTACCGAAGAGGGTGTGGTAATTTCTAGAGTCTCCAGGTATTTACATCTTTGAAGAATACCCAATATTGGGAGTTATAACTAAAGAAGTACATAGTTGTATAATAAATCCAGTCCACAAACACTCAGATGTGAAATATAAATATTGAAGTGCCTTCCCAGCTTTTAGACATCATCAAGCTATTGAGAAGAGATCTTAACAATATAATATTGTTTTACAATTCTATTCTACTGTATCTACTTTACTTTACTCTTAGTAGTCATAAATAAAATAAGTGTGTTTTTAAGCCTTTCTAGACAATCTCCGTCTACAGAAATAAATCTTGGTTGGCGTAGACAATTCTGAATTTATACAGGTCATCTCCGCCTAACAGATATTTATATTCTACATCTGAGTGTTTGCAGACTACATATATCTCTCATACAAAATATGTACCTCTCTAACTATAACTCACAATGTCGGGTATTCTCCTAATGTATGAATATCAGGTAACCCTGAAAACCATTACACTTTCTTCGGTAATTACTATTTTGCCAATTGAGGAACTGTATTGCCTTCAATAGTAATTATCCAATCTTTGGAGATTTTACACTCATGGCATAGTTCTTTAGTCAAACCGTGTTGGTCCCAATTACCACTCTTATTAATGAAATAATCAGTTTCATCTAAGGATCATATCTGTCAAAGTAGTTGTAGATGCAATCTTCCTATGTCACTGACTTTAAACCTTTATAACTCATGATCCAACCAACAGATATCTTCCAGATGACTTTCTACTAACTCACAAGAAGCTATTCTACCGTATTGACCTTTAGGCAGAGACAACCTATAAAGACTCAGGATTGTCTAGGCCAATCAAGATTCATTTCTGGAGACAGAGATTGTCTGGGAAGACTCGAAATATACTTCTTTCATTTATGACTACTCAGAGTAAAGTGAAGTAGGTAAAGTAGAATAGAATTGTAAGAACAATCTTATATTGTTAAGATTTCTTCTCCATGGGCTTGATAATGTCTAAAAGCTTGAAAGGCCCTTCAATATTTATATTCTGCATCTGAGTGTTCATGTACTACATTTATCTATTATACAAACTATGTTTCTCTCTTGTTATAACTTGCAACATCAAGTATTCTTCAAAGATGTGAACATATGGAGATGCTGAATATCACCACACTCTTTTCAGTAATTACGATATTGCTCGCTAGGAACTATACTGTTCTCAATAGTACTTATCTGATCTTCAAAGTTATTAGACTTATGGCTTAATTCTCAAGTTGAACTGAGTTGGCCCCTATTGTCTCTCTTATAGATAAAATAATCAGTTTCATCTGTGGGTTGTATTTGTAGAGATAGTCACAATTTCAATCTTCCTAGGTTATCTGACTTTTAATCTCTATAACTCCTGATCTATGTAGCAGATATCTTTTGGATGACTTCCAACTAATTTGCAGGAAGCCATTCTACCAGATTAGCTCATAATTCCTTAGTTGGCAACTCTTAGTTGCTTTGCATAACAGGGTTTCAGTAGTTGTTCTAGTGTTGAGAATTAGTCCCGCAACTACAATATACTCCTGGGCCCAGTTGTAACACTTTGTGAAGTCCGTTGGCTTTTGTAGTAGCGTTTCTCTGTGTTTTAAACTCTTCTAATTATCATGGAGTGGATGCGAATGTATTGGTCTCTCATAGAAATCATTTAACATTTGATATCATATCTTCATACAAAAATGTCCCATTATCTATGATTCTTGCCAAAGGTGTCACCTCCTTGAAGCCTAGTAACCTTCTGAGTAGTTGACAGATTTACTCCGTTCTACTTTACTGACTTAGCTGAAGGTCCCCTCTTATATATCCTGTAAACAGAATCCATTCGGACAGATGGCAGTGATGTATATGGTATTATTCATATAACTTAAACTCTGTGGCATTATCATCACAGGATACAACTGATATAAGTATGTATAATAATATGCGGGCCCTGTAAGGGTGCCAGAGAGAGGTGTTAGAGACCAGAGATTCCGATTCTGAGTGGGATTACCCTACTTAGTGTGGTTCCTAGATATCGGATCCCAGTATTCCAAACATTAACAGATAATCCCTTAATCAGTAACTCCTTGTTATTCTAGGTAACATAGCTTTGATCATTGTTTGGTAGTAGTAATAATTCCTGCAACCACGACACATTCCTTAACCTAGTTGTAACACTTTGAGAAGTTTAATGGTTTTTCCGGTAGTACTTCCTAGAAGTTCTAAACACTTCTAATTATTGTAGGTTAGATGAGAATATGTTGGCTTTTTGTAGAGATTCTCTAATATTGAATATCATATCTTTGTGTAAAAATGTCCTGTTTCTTAAGGCATATGCCACAGAGGTCCCATTTTTGAAGCCTAGTAACTCTTCAGGTAGTTGATAGACTTACTCCATTATACTTCACAAACTTAGCCAAAGGTTGCCTTCCATAATCCTGCGAACTGAATCCAGTTAGAGGGACTGTAGTGATATATATGGTATTATTCTGATACCTTTAACTCTGTGGTATTATAGTCACAGGACACAACTAAGATAGATATAAATGATAACATGTGGGTCCTGTAAGTGGACTCAAGGAGGGTGTTGGAGATTAGAGATTTCGATCCTGAGTGGGATTACCCTACTTAGGGTACTTCCTAGGTATCTGATCCCGGTACTTGATTTGCATTGACATTGTTGAACTCACTCTTGATATCAAGAAACAGGCTGGACACTTTCTAACAGTCCCATACATCTGATGCATTGGAAACATATCTCACACATCTGAAAATTTCTGAGTAATATTTAATAGTATCTGGTAAATAGAAATTAGATAAGTCAAAAAATGAAAACCACACTACTTTATCTAACAGTTAGTATCATTTTATATCTCCTGTTAAAATTTCAGCCTTATTGATTAACTCATCATAGAGTATTTTGATTTTAAACTCCTAATTACAAAACTATTATACTAGGCTAGGAAAACTTAGAATCTAGGAAAGTGTATAAAATAATTATCTGTTTGTCAAGCTGTTTAGTGTATGAGATTTCTTTTCTAATTTTCTATTTTGAGCCAAATATTTCCTATTTGGGCTATTAGGATACATGGGACACTGATGGGATACATTCAGAATACCACTCACTAAAACTATCTGAGATGAAACATAAACTCATATTTTGGATTCAGGATCAGGTTTTTTTTGCTGATGAAAGGTCTCCTATACTATTTAAATTTAACCTTTATCCCTTCAATGTTACTACTTGCAAAAGTCATTTCAAGATTATTTGAAAATTATATTTATTTGAATATTTGAAGCTGGTGTAGCATATACCTATTTTTTATAATATTATTTTTGAAAGTAGCATGTTTCCCAATATATAAAACTACTGGAAGTATAAAAAAGAATTTATAAAACCATCATAATATAGCACATATTTTTCTATATACTCTCTTAAAAATGGGAAATATGAAGAGTCCTTAATATGAAGAAATGAGAAAAATTGTAGTATTTTAAAATGTGTCATCTCTGACTTCATCATCTTTCTGTAACCATATTATCACTCTTACTCCTCAACATATAGACCATTTACTGATATTTTACTTGGATAGAATTAGTAGAACTACATCAGTTATATGATTACTACTAGATTAACTTCTTCCTCAAAGTAAGCTTACTCTAAATATTTAGGAACTCTATTGTTTTTAAATGTTTAATATAATTATACAAAATATGTGCATATTAAACTGATATAAATTGCAATATGAAACATAATTAACAAATAACCTTAAGATTATATATTAAAAGAGTGGTACGGGAGGAATGGATGGTATGGGAGAGATAAAACTTAAAAATGGTTGGCATAGGAGACCTTTACTGATACAAATAAGATATATATGTATAAAAGAGCCTGGTACATGTTATGATCTCTATGTACTGAAAAGTCTTGTACTAAAAACCAATTGTGCAAAGAGTACTTAGTTCGAGAAACAGAATCAATACCTAATCTTGGTTACTGTTAAGCAGTAGCTAATATGCATTAAGTATTATAGAACTTGAACCAGAATCTTTATCATAGATAGAGATTTATCTAGGAAGAGTTACAAACTAGAAAGAAATAGAGTTTTATTAAAATTTAATGAAGTTCGATTTATTGGTTATGGTATACAGTAGAGAGAGGGTAGGTGCTGGACTTGGTTGCCGCCCAGGACACGACAGTCCACGAATATAAGGGCGGAAAAACCATCCACCAAACCACCAGTTCTCCTTTTATACATGGTATCACAGACAAGAGTCTTTTTTGGGGGGTATGATATCTGATTCCAAATCTTCCATAATTAGTATTTTACAATATCGAGAACTAAAGAACTAAATTTTCAGCCTCCCTTCCGTTCCTATGCATCCGGGAAAAGGAAACTGCTCATGCAGGACAAAAACCAGCCAACCAACTGCGGGCTGAAGAAAAACCCAATTCAAAGAAGCAATCAAATCCGCACAGGCCGCCACGAACTTTCTTTCCGGAGCAGTCAGCATCATTGCGACGGAGTCATTGGAGCACGACTTGGCCCAGCCGTGGATCCCTTCACTTCCATCAGTCCTGGTTCTTTCGGCCTAACCAATAATGCAGGCGCATCGTCGGTACCCTTGCTTTCTGTCCCATTGCCCTTGTCGTAGGTTCGTAATTTTCGACTCCCTTCCTTATTGGAGGCCCATTCGCTTCGCCAGACTTCTTCCCAATCATCCTGTCGCGTTTCCTCGTCGGTTAGTTCAGCGACCTCACCGGTTGGTGTCTCGGGGCGGCGTTCTGTCGGTAGGTGTTCTTGCGCTACCACGGGCTGGATGCGAGTGTGAGCAGTTGATGTGTGAACTTCATGATCTAGGAGATCGGTCGTCTGCTCTATCTCCTGTGGGTGGACCATCGTGAGGGTGGTTGCTAGGCGATGTAAAATTAGCAAGTCAGAGGAGGATTTGGATTTTTGGAGAACACACGTTTTGGGTAGCTGGTTTCAAAGGTAGTATTGGTAGGTATGTCATGTGCTGGTCGACGTTAATTACTTGCTGGGATGGATTTTATGGGAAAAAAAGTACGAGCAGTAGGAGAATGTCACAACATACGGGTTTGCCCTGTTATAGGTGAATCTTGAGGGGTGAATTGACCATAGACAATCCCACGACCATCATCGGTAATTCGTAGCTGGCTTAACGCCTCCTCTGTTCGCAATTCGTCTGGTGCTGATGAATTTCGCTGAATAAATGACATCTGCGGTATCAATGGGGCATGTCCGCGCTCCTTGACCCCTTCTCCCGATGCGGGGTCTGAACCGTCTGTGCTATCACTGCCTGGCGGCGTTGGAGGAGGCGTATTGACAAAGTGTGAATCCATCAGGGTCCGTCCGAGCCATGGAACAGGTGTTGCCGGTGATAGTGAATGTGAGATGGCTATTCCGAGCAAGAAGGGATTAGCAGGTTTATAACAACTAGAACTCGGGTGGCTCACAATGATTTGAGTAATCACTGCTCGAAGTGGAGATATTTGTTGGCGATCTCCAGAGATTGGACTGTCGTCGGTTCTCCTCGGATACATGCTCTTCCTCCCGTGAACTTTCGCCATGGTTTCGGTTTTCCGGCTCGGGGTCAGGCCCTGTAGCAGATAATCGGTGTGCCTGACTAGGTTCTAGCTGCGATCTGCTCTGGGCAACGGGCGGTGGTTGAGCTCTTTCGCTGGCCCCGACCCCAACAGGTGTTTCGTATGGTCGCGACTGAAAAGATTGAGAGGGATGGATCATAGCAAGAGTGGTATCCGTTCTAGGCTTCGAACCCCGACGGCAAATAAGTTTTGAAACGGCCTTTCGAAGTCGTCTGCCAAAAGACATGGTGGTGCTAACTTTCGGGTACTAGTTGATTCGCTAAAAGTCCGCCTTGGAAGTGCTTTGTGGGGAAGTTTTGGGCAAAGATGCGGGTGGAAAAGAGACAGGGAGGGGGTTAGTCAGTAGAGAACATAATCCCGCGGTCAAATGTTTGCTGTGTCAGACCATAGGCACACGTATCACGCATTGGTAATGCATCATGTGTTGCATCTGCAAAAGAGAGAAAGAAGAGGGGAAGCACGGGGAGAGAGTGGAGGGGTGTCGGGAGGTGGGGGATCCGAGTTAGTTAGTTGGTGCGACATGAATTGTTGGGTGTGCGTAGAAAAGATAAGATATGATACTGCACCGGTACCGGCTCCGCAGGGAAGGAAGAAGACGATCACATCACACATGATTCCAACGGGAGAAGTCTATCATACTTGAGTGCGTGAGATGGGAAAAACGGATCCTCTTCCCCAAACAACGGACCGGAGCCCGCAAGGTCCCAATTGACGGAAAATTCGCGCAAGATTCTGGGTTTTTCCTGCTCGTGATCGGCGCCTGCCCCTGAATGGTTACCCTCGTTTCCCAATCAATGCTCTCGAAAGCAATGAACCCCAACCATATGGAGTTATGGTGTTGCGTGGACAGCAGGGCGAGCCCCGTAGCAGTGGAAAGTTGAACGAAGAATAGCGGCAGCCTATCGTTAGGAACTTTGGATCGAGGAATGGCACGATATGAAAACGATTCGTCGCGATAGGATCCCGGTTTCAAGATTCAAGGTCGCATCCGAAAATTCTCCATTAAGCCGGCCGACGATAGTACGGGATTGACCTCCGTGGGCTTATTGCCATCTGTGGCTTGCCCGGGCTTCCCGCCCTTGAAGGGCTTTTTAAGGCTTGAAGTGCAGGCTTGACGTTGGGAGTAGGGAGGGGAAACGGATTGGAAGGAAAAGGGGAATTTTCATCGAAGTGACGTGAACTGAAACCGGGGTTTGCCGTGCTTGTGGCGGGGAATGGCTTGGCAAATCCGCCTTCGTCTGTGGTCAAGGATTCCCGAACCCTATCCCTGTGAAGATCACGGATCAACCGATTGTAAGGTTGTGAAAGTCCTACTATATCATAATATCCATTATTTCAATTTTATCACTTACCCGCGGCCTTATTAGCTTATCTGGGGACATTTTTTTGATTCCCAACTAAATATTGTTAGATCCCTTGTTTCCTCTGCAAAGTAGTTATTCGTCCGACCGAAGCCCACATCTGTCTCCGGAAGCCAACGAGAGTCCGGTATTTTGTCTATAGTACTAAGCTTTGGATCCCATTTTCAGAATCGATACCAAATGGCGCAACAGGGCTCTCCAAACGCCGTAGCTACCACGCGCTTATCTACTCATCATGGAATCCCCACTCCTAATCTAGGGCGAAGTTTGATAGAGACCACTTGCATGGACATGGCATTTCTAGCCTTATAGCGTTGATGATAGAAGCCGGGGGAAAGGAAAAGAGATTACACAAAGAATGAAAGACCACCGAAGATATTGATAGATGCTGTTCAGAGGGATCCACAGAAGCAAGTGGAAGGAAAGGAGAGATGGAAAGTGAGCAAGTGATCGATGGAAAGCAGCAAGCACAGGATAGGGGTTTCTGGTTGGCGGAAATGGTTAGCTGGGTGTTTCCTTATGGGGGATTGCAGAGAATGGTTTCATGCTTTGTTTTGGTTGAGAGTTATGGAAAGGAAGAGACTCACGTGGTGATGAGGGGAATTTCCTTTGTGCTTTCTATTTAGATTTGTCTTTTCCACAGATGTGGGGACAGCTGTGACGGACGTCGTTTTTTTCTTGCTTAGATCAATATCATTGAAGTTCACCATTTTTCCCCGCTGCGCATGATAGAATCGCTAAGATATAGGAGTACTTAAATACTGGTATAGCTTCCTGAAGTTAATGCCATTGTCCCATATTTACCATTCTCAGCAGAAGCATCGCCAGGCTAGGGATATGGGCCGAAAATAAACGCATTCTTCTCTGCGCTTTATAGATTTGTTTTAGACCAAAACGTTCAGCACGATGTAAGCTGGAGGGGGGGCTGTGAAATAATTCATCTATGTATATAATTCCGGACAAAAACTTCCCGCTTGGCCCGATTATCAGCATGGCACTCTGATTCACTTTTCCATCACACAAAGTCACTCATACTCCCAACAACGGTCCCCGTTGAGGATATTGTTTTAATGTGAGGAAGTATTTTTGAACACAGCAGATTGGTGCTCGGATCACTGTGCATAGATACCTCTCCTTGGTATAAATACTGCGCAAAAGAATGTATACGAAAATCATTGCTTTCCCAACCAACTTCTGCTTTTTCGCGTCTCTTCTGTTCCTCATTTCAGGTTATTGGCCTTGAGCGGCGGCAGTTTCTACAGATACATCGAAGACCCCCACCGACGCAATTCCCACCCTTAACCCTGCCGTAACAGAGGGACGCATTGTCCAGAAGGGAGTTGAAGAAGCCATGACCGCATTCGACCATGAGCGTCAATAGGATCCCTACCAAAACAGGATTAGCCTACCGAAACCACGTAGCACTTCCCGAATAACACAAGCGCAATGCTCTTCTCGTAGAGCATCGTGAGTACTGGAATTTCAATGGTGCTGAAGTCAGACACAAGCTAGAGGAAGAGACAATACATCCACAAAACTTTTAACCTTCGACACCTTACCTTCTAACCCCATACTCGAGTAGTAGTCCTATCAGTTTAAATCCACCCGCAGGGTGCTTCCGGTTCAGTTCACGCGAGTTGAGGGAGCCACCGTGGTCGTCGAGCACGCCCACAATCACGCTTACAATATCGTCCGACCTGTATGGTGGAGGGTGAGGCTATCGAGCCAGAAGTTATCCGCACCACCCGCCCGGCACACTACGGTACGAAATAATATCATTCACGAGCCATCTTTCCATCCCCAACCGTTCAGCCGATGACCATCGACGAGTACAAACATGCAGGGGAAGTTTTTGACGGTAAGACGGGGATGACGGGCTTTTTGAAGGTGAACCCCAGGTTGGGGAGGAAGAATGGTGGTGCTCACCAAACTCACTCGAACTCGTACGGTCAGGGCAAACGCGCTGGGCCACCCCGGAACTGCTAATGGGTCTGGGAGGACTGTCCCTGATCTTTGATTGGGGGGCGTTTATGTTGGAGAAAGGGAGGGCGAGGGTTTATGAATTGATACACGTAACAATGTTTTTGAAAATGCTCCTATTTCTATAACATTGTGTTTCCTTACTGTGGAGGTATGTGTCGGTATGACATAGCGATTTCACTCGTCACAGGAGTTTAAATTCATTGCGGTTTAGTGTAGATATTTCGCTTGTCAGTTCCTTGTTATCATAATTTACCACTCATGCTACTGTCCAAACAATCTGGAAGGGAGAAGCGAAGAAGCGGGACGCATCAAAATTTCCTTGGTCGACAAAAATTGCTCTGATGAGCGAATTGGAGTCCCAAAAGTCCCCTGAAAATCGTGCATGCTGTCTTTAGATGTTTGCTGTCTTTAGATATTTGCTGTGCCGCGGTAGTACCGGGGCGTGGAACATCCGTGTACGGAGTGTCCCGTTCGAACAAGAAGTGTTGCCGAATCCCCCCCCCCAGCAACCCTTATGACGGAAAACAAAGCTGGACATGCACTTATGGATTCCACTCTACCTTGATTGCATTGAAAAACTCCTATATGTTGATTCATACTGTGAGGGAAATGGATTCCCCTATCGACAGTTACGCCATCTGAACTGTCTCATATATGCTGGTATCTTGCCCTAGCTCGTTCGTAGACCTCTCGACTAAACCCATAGCCCAACTGTAGCGCAAAAAATAGGGGCTTAAACCTGACTAGTCTGGTTTGGAGCAAAGAAGGATTATCGCTCTTCATGAGTAGGGTTTTCGGTATGATAGGCTTTAGGGTATTGGTGGGGTGGGCCTGTTGTAATTCTTGTTTGAAGTTGTACTTCTTGCTCAATTGATGCTCTACTGGGGGGCTATAGGGCCCTATTTATGCTACAGAAGAACACGCTACAATCACCCATGACATGCGCTTTGCTCAAGAGAAAAGAAAAAATAAACAACAACGATACTATATAATGTAGTAGTAAAGAGAAAGGAAACATGAGTGAGGAAACTAAACTAGTACCATGGTAGAGTTGCCAAGTAATCTCTGCTCTGGTCAACTGTGTAATGAGCTCAACCACTTAATGAACCTATATCAAAGTATTCTGTCATAGTCAATGACAAAGCTGATGCATATTTGTAAGTCATATTACAACAGGGCCTGAGAACCTGAGCTCGAGTGATTTTAGATGATTTCCACGAGCTTAGAGGTCATGGCAGAGCAGACGCTTAAGATAGTATTTTGTGAGGGAAGTCCGTGGAATTGTAATGAGCCTAATTCTGAATATTAACATAAATTGGTGTAATTGTGTGTTTTATCCAGTTATTGGAATGTGAGTATTGTTTCCCCCGAAGGGGGGGGGGGGCTACGGGGGTTTCCTCTACTCGCTGGAAGTAAAATGTTTGAAGTATCATAGATAAAGAGTCGCAAATCTCGTGGCTTGTTGGGTATCGGGGGACTTACATGATGCAAATTCCATCCTATTATATTTCGGTGACAGACTCACAGATGCCCCACTTTCGCAATCTTAGCCTGCGGGCAATTGACAGGCCTACTTATTTGCTGTGGGTAGGTTCTGCTAACGATTCTAGCCAGTGCTGGTATCAGTTTGAAAAGCTTCCGTAAACTTTTCCGACAACTTCGGAGCTCTAATCAGTGCATACCGTTGGGACATTGTTTCCCGACATGATATTGCCAATACTACACATATCCTCCAAGTTCGTCCCTACCCGCGGCGCCGCTTCAGACCGCATATATCGGACTCTAAAACCTTTCTTTTTTGGGCAGTAGAACCCCCCCGGCTTTTCGCACGCCAAAATAAGCTTCATAATTTCACACCCGCAGCCTAGGTTAGTATTAGCCGGCTAGCATGAGACCGCAGCAGGCCAACCCTTCAACACCAGTGCTGATGAGCAAGTCAGACGAGTGGATGCTAGTGTAGTGCACATATTCAGGCCGTTAATTCTCATGCGACTACCCAAAATCGAATGTTAACAGTATTCTCGCTAGTGAACCAGTCTTATTAGCATGTCGTTACGCTACACTGCACTTTACTGTGTCGCACTGCGCCAACCTTGCCGGTATGCCCTTTGGCTGCTAAACCCAGGGTTTCTCAGAGCCAAGCTGATTTTTTTCGGATCAACCTGTGATACTGCTCGGAACAATGTGTGGCTTCTACCATAGCCCACATATTGTGGTCACGAGGTGAGGGCTAACAAATGAGTTATCAGCCCATTTCTGACCGCTGGTACCGGTACAATAGGATGGTCTACTCCAGTACGTTACCGCCTACTACCGGTACGGTGGTGCCAATTATAATGCCGTGCCGGTACTCGAGCAAGTACTATATTATACAGTACTGTCCTGTACTGTACATACTAAGGTCCCTATGAGCCTACAACCCTAACCCTTCTGGTTTGCGGAGATGAAGTAAGCTTTTGAGGTCTGTGCTGTCTCCACATTCCCAGGATGAGGGGAAATATTCCTCACTACTCCCATTGAACTCAAGCCTCGGTTTTCAGAGCGGGTGCATCCAAACTTGTGGATCGCTTTTAACCCAGTCTCACCTTCTATATCTGGGTCGCGCTCAGTGAAGCCGGTGCATTCCGCGGCATATGCTTGTACTCCAGTCCTGTACGGTACTGTACTAGGTACTGTGCAGTACTGTACTCGCACAAGTGCTCGACCAAATAGGCTGCTCATGTCAGCCCATCTTTGATTGGTGCTCGCAAACGTTCCAATGACCGTCACTCCCATTGAAGTACTGCGAATCCGTAGCGAACCTTTTTCGACTGGAGGATTTTAATACAGGTGCTCGCTTGCTTTTGACGATTGCCCCCGCCAGAGAATTGTTCCTATAGCACAAGGAAAGTTTCGGTTCCTAAGTCAATAAGCACTGTGACGCACCACATGTCGGCTCGACGGATTCCCATTCGTTCCTGTACTCGAGCAGAAACGGAGTGACTGCCAACCTCGTCAAGGATACTTGTACAAGTAGTTTCCTGGAGAAAGATTGACCGGGTCAATCCTTGAGTTCGGCGGGAAGGGTCGGTAATTATCCCGTTTTTCTACCAAACATGAATACTTCTGGGTGTTGTTATGGTACGAGTACTGTGTAGCGCTCGAGTATTGTACTCAAGTACAAGGCAGTATGGAATTTGGTGGGAGGCATGAGTTTGCTACTCGAGTATGATACTTCTTGTGGAGAAGTTTGTTATTGAATGTGGGAGCACGGTACCTTACCGTGTACCGGGCATTGCCTATAACCGATGGGCAGAGAGCAGAGGTTCCCTCTCGGGTGGATGGCATTGAATTCCGGCCCCATGCGGAATCGCAGTAACATCTTGTGCTCGAGTAACCGGCAAATGCTTAACCTTACTCGAGTACTCGAGTACAGTAAGAAAACAATCGAGCACTTCTAATCGAACTACCGTAATCAACATGGTCGATTAATAGGCGCCCTTACTGCCGAATCTCTGTGCTATGGCTGGTGCTAGGGCTTTTGCGATGAGCTGATACGGGGAGTATTTCTTCTCCTAAGCTCAGGTATGATAGCACGCCTGGAAGGAGTAGGTGCCCTGTACAATTTCGCCACCATTTTTCTGGATTTTGCATGATATGGCGCACTTTCGCATCATGCAAGCTGGGATGCACCCCCCTCCAGACAACTTTCGGACACTGGCCGTTGTGCCGATACAGTACCGCACCTTGGCGGCAGACGGGTAGGATCAAGCTTATCATGCCTGGCGGGCTTGTATCATAATCGAGTGCAGTGCCATCCCTACAAATCGTCCTGTCCAAGGGCGATTCTGGGCCACACTTTGCACTTCGATCTAGCAGTTTAAATTACTAGCTTGGGAATTTCCGGTTAGGATCTTCAGCCTATCGCATTGGTTGGCTTGGCTTTTGCGTGCTCGAGTAAGTTGGGGGTGGTACTCGAGGAAACACCATGGCTGTGCCATCATCTTACAATAGCGGCAACCCTACGTCTAGATGGGGCACCCCACCGCCGTTTATCCTTGCTTGCTTGGCTCTACTGCAGTTCGGTAGCGCTCTGGCAATTAGATCCTATTGACCTTGAGAGTGTCCTAGCTTCCCAGGTATCATACCATACTCAAGGGGCCTTTCTCCACTCAAACCCGATATTGCTTCAACTATGCACTCGAGTACATTATTACCGCAGTTGTAAGCCAAGGAAGAGAGGGCCGAAGAGAAATCCCAACGGACAGGAACTAGTTATTTCAGCCCGGCGAAACATGCCCACATCTGAGCAGAAGCGAATCAAAGCAGCTTGAACCGCGTGCGTCATTAATGTGTGGATGCTACTCGAGTGCCGGTAGAGTGCCGTGATCGATCATAGGGAAAGTCAGCGCGGGGCAGAATCTTGTGATTGCTTGCTCGCCCCCCCTCCCATTCCGTTCCACCACAGGCTGGAATCGAGGTTTGTATAAAGTTAACGCAAGGAGAACCTCAAATGGAATCACTACCCCCTTCCTATCGCATTCCTGCAACGCCCGCCTGATCCGTTGATCAATTTACTGGCACCCTACGAGCATCGTATCGCACTGCCTGTGATAATAATAGTGTTCACAAGCTCGAGTTGGTCAAGCATATATCACCACTTTCGACTACAGTATGCATTTGAAGAGCCATCTACTCGCGGCTTCGCTAGTAGGAGGGGTTCAATCTTCCTTTTTGCCCTGGAACCAAGCTAGAGGCGACCTTGGGACACGAGCTCCCACCTTCGATTACGGCAAAGCGAAAGTTCGGGGCGTTAACCTTGGAGGATGGTTTGTGTTAGAACGTGAGTTTTCCTTGTCAATCTTTTCCTCCGTCAAAAAACAGAAAAGCGGTTATGCCTCATCACTTCCTTTGAGTTTCGGCATTTCTAACATCTATTTCTTGCTAGCTTGGATTACACCTTCGTTCTTCGAACCCTTCGGAGGAAGTGTGGTTGATGAGTACAACCTTTGCAGAACACTCGGAAAGGATGCCTGTCAAGCCAAGCTCGAAGATCATTGGAGGTAAGTTCCCCAGCATAGTACAAACCTCTTGCCGCAAGATTTAATAATAATAATAAAAAAAGCACATTCTACTCCCAAGAGGACTTCCAGCAAATTGCGGCCGCGGGGTTGAACCATGTCCGGATTCCCATCGGGTATTGGGCAATTAGACCCCTCCCCGGTGATCCATATGTCCAGGGTCAGCTAAAGCATCTCAACAACGCTATCAATTGGGCTGGAAATGTCGGCTTGAAGGTCTGGATCGATCTTCATGGGGCACCGGGCTCTCAGAACGGATTCGATAATTCTGGCAAGCGTGACTCTATCGAGTGGCAACAAGGGGATAACGTGGCTCATACGGTTGAGACTATCAGAGAGCTAGCCCAAATCTACGCCCGGAGTCAGTATGGTAATGCTGTCACTGCAATCGAGCTCTTGAACGAACGTAGGAACTCCCTCTGGTGCGCACGGAAGTAAAGGTGCCTGCTAAAATTCAATTAATACTGAAGCTCTCGGACCCAATCTTGATCGCGGGAAGATAGAGCAGTACTGGAAAGGTAGAGGTTTTTGCCTTTAGTTATTTGCTATATGTCTAACAAGTTTCAGATGGGTGGGGCGCCGTCCGAGATTTCAGCGACACTGGTGTGGTTATCGGAGATGCATTTTTCGATACAAAGTCATGGAACGGAGTCATGACCACCGGCTGGGATCATGTACTTATGGATACTCACCACTACCAAGTATTTGATGTCGGTCAGCTTCAGCAATCGCCCCAGGATCACGTAAACGCTGCTTGTTCCTTCGGACGAAGCCTCGTAGGTGTTGATAAATGGACTGTTGTCGGGGAGTACGTCTGGTTGAAGGCCCGGTTTCGCTCAACATTTGCTAATGCTCTATAGATGGTCTGCTGCACGGACGGATTGCACAAAATGGCTTAACGGAGTTGGGCGTGGTACCCGTTGGGAAGGGACTTTCTCCGGGGGTCCGAGAATCGGCGACTGCGGAAATCGTATCCAGGGCTCCGCAGCCTCCTATTCTGCAGAGGAGAAAGCCAACACACGAGCATTGTAAGTTTTCTGGCATAGTCGATTAACAGCGGTTCACTGTTCTAACAAAATTGCCGCCATAGCATTGAAGCCCAACTCGATGCATATGAGCTCGTGGATGGATGGTTCTTCTGGACATGGAAGTCGCAAGGTTCTCCTGATTGGGAATTGAGGGACCTATTGGCCAATGGGCTTTTCCCACAACCTATTACAAGTAGAGAAGGTATGCTATTCCTTGCCACCTTCTAATCACCCCGGGGGGTCCGGGGAACCAATGTTGACGTAACTGCGGAACAGTCCACAACCGCTGTGGATTCTAATGCTGTAGGAACATGGATGATTGAGCTGTCTGCTGTGTAAACAAAAATTCCCTTCTTTGGGAAGCGGGTTCAAGGCATAGCAAATCAAAACCCCTTTCCATCTCGCGAGACAGAAAGAAATTGGGGAAATTGCTAAGTGCTACTCGGAGAGGAAACCCTAACGGCAAGGCACACGGTTTAATTGTTCAAATTCCTACGGCATTGGTATCTTGGAGGTGATGGTTTGAGTATTTCGTCGCATATCCCGGTTCTATATTACGATGACACGACCGTTCGTGATATGAGGGCAATGTTTAGTTTCTAGCTGGGAATATTTACCAGCTATGATATACTTGTATTATGCACATTTCTTTCGTTCTCTTTACTTTTCCATGCAATTATATCAGACGCCTGATCCGGCTCATTTCTTAATAACAATCATTCATTGGTTAGAGGAGCCGTAAAATATCATACTGTATATGTTTTTTTCTGTACGACGGGCATTCATGATAAAATGTTACAGTGTTTCCCTGCGAAGCGAGCCCAGCGTAACGAGCACCCACCATCTATCGGTTCGCTGTTCGCGGGCCGTGCAACTTTAGACAGTGCTCGAGTAGTTCAAAGGGTTTTGAAAGCCGGTACTGTACTCGTTATGACGGGTGCTCACTGTGGGGAAATATTGTAGATATGATAAAATGTGGAACAAACCTCAAACCTGGTAAGCATTTCGGAAGACCTGGCAACCTTGGCAGCTATGGTACCCATGACTTACGAGTGACAGAAGCTGTATCAGTGCCAATACCCCCACCCTAGTGTCGCTAGTCAACCGATGCCCAACACAGCTCAGGGGGTAGATTTAAAGCCAGCGACCCGCCCTTCTGCGATAGTTCTCTCGTACCGAAACACCATACTATATATTCCATCCCGAAAAAGAAAAAAAAGATAAAGGGCTTCGATAGGACGTCACAGCGGAGTGAAGCAAACCCCAAAATGGCATACACCGTCCCGTTCCTGGTTAACAATGAAGAAATTACCTCACCCAGAACCTTCGACGTCAAGAACCCGCTAGATGACAGCCTCCTGTGGAGATCATCTGCAGCCACAGTCCAAGACGTCGAAGCCACGGCTCTGTCTGCGAGCAGCGCCTTCCGCTTGTGGTCGACCACAAAGCTAGCCAAACGGCGTGAGCTCATATATAAGCTGGTGGACGTCTTGGAGAGGAGAAAACAGGAATTGATGGATACCATGGCGGGCGAGACCGGAGCGTTGAGTGGCTGGGTGGACCTCAATATGGATTTGACTGTTGGGCTGGCGAGGGATGTTGCGGGTAGGGTGGTAAGCATCGCCGGGACTATTCCGGAAAGTGCCGAGGAGGGTGCGTTGATCCCATATGCGTTCCGACATCGGCATCTTATCCCTTAAGGGGAAGGAAATAGCTAAATTTGAAGTATGTAGGGAGGACCGCACTTGTGAAGAAGGAGCCGTATGGGGTTGTTCTTGCGATTGCTCCTTGGTAATGATTCTTAATCATCTTTTACCTTATTTAATTGCTTACTACACAAATGCTCGCAAGCTAACACCCGAATCCAGGAACGCCCCCATGATCCTAGCACTACGGGCAGTTCTCTGCCCAATAGCAGCCGGCAACACTGTCATACTCAAATCCTCCGAGTTTTCACCAAAAACCCACTTCCTCCTTGCCTCGTTCTTTAAAGAAGCGGGATTCCCTCCGGGAGTCCTCAACGTCATTTGCCATGCCCGAGAAGATGCCGCCTTGATTACAAACGCATTGATCGCTCACAGAGCTATCCGTAAGATAAACTTCACGGGGAGCACTCCCGTGGGTAGGCTGGTCGCTGCAAAGGCAGGCGAGCACTTGAAACCCATCCTGCTGGAATTGGGAGGCAAATCGCCCTTGGTGGTACTCGCGGATGCGGATATCAAAAAGGCGGCGGCGGCGGCGGCGATTGGAAGCTATTTGCATGTCCGTCTGCATGAATGCACTCACCCTTCAGACGCTATCTATGGGCCAATTTGCTAATGCGGCTGTGCAAGAAATCTAGTCAGGCCAAATCTGCATGGCCACGGAAAAGATAATAGTCCAAGAGTCCATCCTCGAAGAATTCATAGCTGAGCTAGCAGAAGCCACCAAACAATTCGGCGAAACCCAAGCACTTTTTCTCCCGGGAGCATTCGAAAGGCTCAGCAAGCTTATCGAATCCTCAGTCAACCAAGGAGCAAAAGTGGTAAACCCGCCAAAAGAAATCCCCTCGAGGACTAAATTCCCAAACTTGATCATCCGCGGCGTGACCAGAGAAATGGAGCTCTTCCGCACAGAGTCGTTCGGTCCGCTGGCTACGGTTATCGCCGCCGGTTCCGAGGAGGAAGCGATAGCTATTGCGAATGACACGGAGTTTGGACTGAGCACAGCGGTTTGGACAGCGGATTTGGCGAAAGGGTTGAAGATTGCGAGGAGGATTGAGAGTGGGTATGTATATTTTTCAACGTAATCCTTCTGTATTAGCTAGTAGTAGGGAGCATTTTTCCGAAGGTGACTAATGGATTGCTAGTGCTGTGCATATCAACGGAATGACTGTCCATGACGAGCCGATACTGCCTTTTGGAGGGGTCAAGGATAGCGGGTTTGGAAGGTTCGGGGGTTCGTGGGGAATCGAAGAGTTTTTGACGACAAAGACTATTACGTTTGTGACTTAGGTTATGGTTTGAATTATGGGTGAGATTCAGGATTAGGCTAGAAGTCATGATCGATACCTGTTTTAGGGAAGGTAGGATAGGTCATTGCGAATTGGTTACAATTAAATACTGTATCCCCTTCTTTTTGCCTGTTCATCACGAACTAATTAGCAACTATCTGCAAATATATTAGGACTGGTGGGTGACACCGCCGTCTCAGCGGTCGTTGGGCGCCTTGGTATTGGTCTTGCTCGGAATCAAATACCGGCACGGGTGTGGATAGCTCGTGACTGCTCTGATGTCTCCCCAAAGTAACTATATAATAATTATGATATAAAACATGACGAAACTATCCTTACCCTTCCATCGCTCGCCACACATATCCATTTTCCTCTGGACATGCCCCCATCCCCTTGCTCATCCGCGTGGTATCATAGCAAAACAAAAGGCCATTCTCTACAGTACAATCCCCTAACAAAAGAAATGTATACTCACAGTGCCTATTTTCTCTGTCCGCTCCTATAATTGTATCGCTCCTCCTCGACCATTTTTACTTGTAAAATGCATCGAGTTACCTCGGGGAGCCAGAGTTCCAGCCGAGTATGGAAAACTCTGAACCCCAAAGACCTGTATTACATGTACGTCAGTGTCATTCCCACCCCCGCGGTGAAGAATCAAAGTTCCTGCTTGCATTACTACGATAACCAAAAGCCATACGATACCAGCAAGTCTAAAGTCAGCAAATCGAGATCAAAAATGCATAACTTGAAGGTCATAGGTCTGCTACCCATATTTCGCTTCTCAAGAGAGCTGTGATTTTGGAACTTCAGTTAGCATGCCATGCCAAGCGTTCCTGCTATAGCTATAGGTTAGTATTAATAAAACAGCAAAGAGGATTGCTAAACGAGCAAAGGTAGAAACATATCCGCGTCAGTTAGAACCCCATTTGGATTTATTGGTGCCATGTATCATACGCAGGACAAGGGAGACAGTGATACAATTGGGTTTTAAGACCATCTCACCATTCCCGCAACTGTGGCTAGTCCATGTATTTTATCAGCCAAAACACCCGATGATGAGCGATACCATTACTCGAGTACAGGGGTGGACAGAGCAAACCGGCGCCGTGAGCAGTATGATATTATGATAAAAAACTCCTGCTCTCCAGAGCTTCCAGCGGTGATACCATAATGCCTGAGCATATTCTACCATCACCTCTATACTTGAGCGCTCTCCACGCAGTCCATTTGACCCCCCCACACTCATCGCTGCGGAATATCTCGCCCGATGGATCCATCACCGGAACCATTGCCGAACAAGGAAATCATGAGCAGCATCTATCGTAGCAATTGGGATATGATAAGGTTAACCTAGAGTAGTGCCTGAGTTATTCCGCTTTACCTCCTTGGATGGTGGAATGCGCGCAAAGGCAGCAGGTATTAACTATCCGGAAAGACATTCCGGAGAAGAAGGCCCATCCGACATCTAAACCGCGAATGGACCGCACTAACTTAGTACCGGTATATCCACTATACGGCACTCATCCGAGACGTTCCCTCACACCTACGCCGCAGTCCCGCCCCGCCCCCACCCCGTCGCTCCGCCGTCCAATCCAACAATAGCAATGCGGAGATGCCACATCCGAGGCGGAACGCAGGAGGCCGTTCGATCCCTTCCGGGGACCTTTCCCTCAAACGGCTGGGAGGGCACCAGCGGCTCGTTCCCACTTTGCGGGTACAACGGACACTCCACCATGGCCACCGCACTGTATTATGACTCCCCCGGAGCGGCGGAAATGGAAGGCACTCCCCAAGCCTCAAAAAACTCTCCGCCAACCCACCCGGCGCGACAACACCAACTATTATCATAATAGCAAAAAAAGCCAATCCGCATGCATAACCCCGCCCTGGCCCATGCCATACCCCCCCCCCCACAATACTCCAGGGGAGCCCACTAGTAAAACAAGTTCACCCAACCTTCCCCCCACAAAGGGACAAGCTCAGCCATCCTCCTATCATAGGTATGATAGTACAGGAGCGGAAAGACCCACCGTGTTGACAGAAACCTGGCGCCACGAATCGCATTCTTACAGGGGCTGAAGGTCTCGCATGCTATCTACGTGTACGAGTATCAACTTATTGGCGGGAAGGGTTCATGAGTTGTCACTCGTGTGCGGATTCCTGATTCGGAGCGACGATGGGTTCAGCTCGTGGTGGGGGTTGTTGTTGCTGGCCTGCAGGGGTTCGGGTTAAGCAGTGTGCGTCTTTGGTAATCCTGGAGTGCTCGAGGACCGTGAATGCAGGGCATGGAATGGAATGGATGGGGCGATTTCGGTATCATACGAGAAGACCAAAGCGGGGGAAGAAGAAAAGGATTCTTCTCTTCAATGCGTCTGGAGTTGGTGAAGTCCAACGTGCAATTTCACACCTTGCCATAGGTTTCATATGCTCATGGCGTCGCAGTACTGGTACATCTCAGCAGGCCCGTGGAGTGATGAACGGATATACCGTAGCGGTGTAGAGCCGTCGTCTAGGGATATGAGAGGGGATAAGTTCGTGATGAGACAGCGTCAAAAGTAACGAACGGATATAAAAGTGTAAATTAGCCCCGTCGTCGACCGGATACAAGGGACCGTGATTATTATAAGTCTTCATAACGCCAAAGTGGCTTATCCGCCAAACTGGCGAGAACTTGAAGAAGTGGTGTGCTGAGATACCTATATGCCTGTCTTTGGCCTCACTATATTCCAACATATTATTATTCCTCCCGCTTGAGAATTCCCCTTTCGTGTTGGAAGAAAGAAAGAAAGAAAAATGAGGGCACATTAATTGCACTTGCACTTTACTTTGCACTTTTGAAAAAAATAAAAAAAAAGGTTTTACTTGTCTCGGAGTGGTTTTGCCTGGAATTCTCCGCCATGTCTCTCTCTCTCCGTGCTATCCGGAGCGAGACACGGGCACTGACCGGCGCGTAGTTATGATAGGGCGATCCGAGAGTGAAGGAGAGAAGTCTGAGCAAAGGGGGGGGTCTTTGTTTCCCCCCGCCCCTTTTTTTTACGCCCTGAGTCACTGTACGGTACCTGTACAGTACTATCTAGTTATAACGGGGGTTTCCTGAAGCACCTTGCGTGCTTACGGCTTGTACGAGTATATTATTATTATTATCAAAGGTACAAGTACTTGTAAATAAATAAGCAAGAATGCAGATCTTGCCAAAAGTGATGTGATAGGCCAAGAATTGTACCTGGACAGCCACTGTGATTACCAGTGACCCCTTCCAATCGACTTGCCAGCCGTAATTGCACTTTGTCTGTCTGTCTGTCTCTCTCCCCTTGTTATGGATATTCAGCCATGAGTTTGTCCGCTGACCTGGAGTGGACTGGGTATTCAGCGTTCCTGGTACTCGAGTATGTACTCGGTGGGACCGACTTCGAGAGAGAAATTGTGACCAGGACCATGTCATTACTTGGTCGATGGAGAGCGGTGGTCACCGTGACCGGTAGGAAAGAATTTAAAGTACCGTATTTGCCAAGTGATATCAATACTGGGTTCTTGATTAATAATAAAGGTTGATTTGCATTGGTTTTCTTGGAAGGTTATGGCGGAATGTGCCAGGCGATTTTTATCTTTGACGGAGAGATGGTAGGACCTTCCGGCACACTGTTCAGTTGGATGGAATATTAGGCTATGTACTCGTACAAATAGATAATACAATACTAACCAGTAATGCAACAGCTTCAGCAATCCGACAGAAGTGCCATAAAGTTAAGGTTTGAAGCAACATCGTCTTAAATCATGAGAAAGTGTGAATTTTTTTTTACCCAAAGTGACATCAGGCCATGAGAGAGGGACTCAGAAACAGATTCCACGTATGCAATCCAAGAGGGACTGGCAGTAGACATGATGATTTCACCATGAAATAGGTACGACAAATTAGTAATTTCCTCACATTTCCATATAAAATTCCTCATAATACAAATATATATTATTGAAGTACTGCTTTTTGTCTTTTTCCCTTTCCCCTCATGCAATAGGCTTTCACATTCCCACAAGGTTCCGACTGCATGATCTGCTCCACACATTGTGGGATTTATATTGGTCACAACGACAACGGCTGAAGCACAAAGTGTATCACTGACATATAAGTTAGCCATTTATGCCATGGGATACCGGTATGGTGATACCGTCTCATGTTCAGTTCATTGTCCGCGTTCATTGCTACTATTTCCAGCCCGTGTGATCGCTACATGCCTGGCTCTAGTGCTATGCAATGGTTTGATGTTGGATACCGCACTGCACAGTACGATACGGTACTCGTACTGTACAGTACAGCCCCGCCTATTTTGTATTAAAAAAGTAAATGGAAAAACCTGCAGGAGTCGCTCCCATTCACGATCAATCGAAATGGTAATAATATTCTTATCAGCCCGTTTACACCTTGTCCCACCATTGCAACATGTCCATCTTCCCTACTCGGTAACTGATGCAGCCCTCCTGTTGCTTTTCCCTCCGTAGAGAATCAGTTGGAGCAGAACCCGCTATCCGGTCGCGATACCAATTCTTTTTAATTTTTTTACCCTCAAGAGTTAGTTATCTTGCCTCGCGCACAAAAAAAATAAGCCGTTCCCAAAAATATCACGATGGTGAGTGTGCCCGACAGACCAAATAAATAAACATCAGACCTTACCAGCAACCCAATCCCCAACCACCGCGGAACTGACATCGATCGACAACCATCCATGGATACCCCTCCTCACGAAACGAAAAAAACACGGCAAATATTTCCGGGAAATGTTCTCCCTCCCCCGTTAACCCGACCCACGTACGATACCACCGGTTTCCTCCCCGCACCCATCCATCCACCGGACCACCGGATCGCCGCTACCCGCCGCAGCCCTACCCGCACCCCGGAAGGAAGGAAGTTACTCCAATCCGGTTATCACACACAATCACTCGGCAAATTGCCGAGGACGAGGACGAGGACGAGGAGGCCCAGCTGCGGGTGACCCGGTTTGTACTGGGGGGTAGAACCACGGTCCTGACGGCCTTCCGCTTGTACCTGAAGGGGGGGTGATACTCGTAAGGCCCACCTATTCGGGTAAAATCTCGGCAGATCCTGCGGGTTGTCGGAAAAGCTCATTGCCCGGGCGGCCGGATCACCACCCATCCAGGCATATCAGGATGAAGAGATACGGGGACTGCCGTGCCTTCTCCGCGGGGATGGGGGGTTGCTGTGCGGGTGAGCGGTTGCGCGCCCTTGCCGGCTGTGTGAAGGGTAGGATTATGGTGGTCCATGGAGACTGGAGGTGAGTGGTGAGTGGTATTATCCAAGTTATACATTCCAGTACCATGGAAAGAGGAAAGACAGAAACAAATAATTCAACCCTTACGACCATCCAACCCCAGAATCTCCTGGTTCTCCCTTCCCCTTCTTTTTGTTTCCTTCCGGAATACATATCGCGATTACCCGTAATTAAGCAATCAAGTCTTCCCAAAGCCCGCACAGTAGCCACTCGATGAAAAACATGTACTAGTACCATATTACCCATAGGCGGCAGGAGAACCACGCGCACCCCTGCCTCCTACCCCCCGAAAAAATTAAAAAATTAAAAAACAGAAAGAAATACCTACAGTCAGTGAACTACCCCAAGCAGCGCACCTCCCACCCAGTGCGCATGCACGGGCCACACTGCAATAACGCCCGACCTCCAAAATACACCCAACACACCCGTTAGCACAGTACGAGTACCGACCTCACTCCATGCACGACTACCGACCGGTACAAGTACTCCATGAATGACTCCCCAACCGCAGGCATGCAGCCCTGGATAAGGCAAGACGAGACGAGACGAGGCAAGACAAACCGCATGCAGCAAAAAATGTTGGAGAAGGGTAAGAAACAGCGAGAGATGTCAGAACCGGAGAGGTATGATAGCGGCCGCAGGAATCTAGTGCTTGCAAGGAGGTTCGAGCGATCGAGAGTTGGAAAATATAATGCATCATAGCGGAAAAACGGCAACCTGAGCAGCGGGAGAGGAAGAACAAGTGGAGGAAGTAGTAAATCAGCGGAGGGACGAGAGATAGGAGCCAGCGTTGGACAAGGTACAGTAATGTTTCGTTCATCAGTTTTTCCCTTGAGCCGAGTGACTAAGCGATAAACTTCCTCCTCCTATCATACGTACGATATCATATCATACTCCCAACGAAGGAAGAGAGCAAGTTGATATTCACAAATAATCACTCGGCGGATAGTCCCTTCCTCCGGACAAGCATTCCTTTGTCCCGCATACCGGTACCCACTACGATATTTGGCTTCCCTTGTCAGATATCCAAGACACCTCTCAGGCGGGACTGGCCAGCGTCCTCTCATACCTTTTACTGTTTTTTTTTCGGAAAGTGTGCCGGATGGATAGAGGCGGCTTCGCCATAATTATTATATTATTATCTTATGTACCGTTTTATAAAATTTAATAATGGGGTTATTTTCCTTCCTTTCTCTCCCACATTTACTTTTTGCATCGGTCCGTCGAGTCTTCATCCATCCAACTGCTGCAGCTTTATTGCACCGGCTGAAGTTTTGCATGTCGATACAGCAGGGGCGTTGATTACACGCTCGATACTCTTTTTTTTTTTCCTTTTTTCCTTTTTCCTTTTTTCCTTTCTGCATCCTTTGCTGGTATCATACAATTATTAGCGCTGGAATGGTGGTCTAGTTCTCAATATGTCGGCCTTATCATGCGAATCATCTTCCCTCTTACAGTAATGTGATGTGTGAAGGGGGGGAGGTAGGGGATTACCAAACCCTCAGGTATTATTAGCCAGCGCTCCAGTCAATCTGATGCCAGTATCCACAACACAATCCCAGTACCGATGATAAATGGTATGGATTCAGCTGAGCTGAGTCTAGTACGAGATTTTACCATTACTATTTCATTACTCTCGCATATGTACCCCCCTCACAGGTGGTTATCCAAGACCATATCTTCCATACGAGGCACTTGTGTTAAACAAGTCAAATTACGTAAAGAGTTGCGATCGCATTGTATTGTTTTGTTTTGTTTTTGGCCCCAGACCAACTAGATACAACTATACAACTGGAAGGAAAGCAAAGTACAGTGGATGGTGGTCGGGTTGTGGTACATTGACATGCAAAACAAAACTTTTAACATAAATAATAAAGCTTAAACAACGGAATAGAGGGAAAAGGTTACCGCTAGGTTAGACTCCAAGAGAGTAGTCAGGTGTAGTGCCAATCCACGTCTTGAAGCTTAGTTATTTCCCCCTTTTCTCCAGCCTTCTCTCGGAGTCCAGTTGAAATACCTGCTGCTAATTCCCGGAGAGGCTGACGCGGCGTCATGGCGGTGAGTCTGGCGGGTCGGAGAGATAGAAGGTCCTGTGGGAAGATGCTTCGGGGGCGAAGATCCAACCGGAGAGGAGCGATTATTACCTGCCCATGTGTGACGTTTGCGGGCGAGAGGGTCCAGTGGGGATAAACCACGACCGCCAGCCTGAAGTGGTGCGGGCGGCTCACGACTTCCCGTGAAAGAAGGACGCTTAGGGGGGGACGGGAGAAGCGGGGACGGCTGTCCATCGCTTACGTAAGTGCGACGAGCAGGAGGCAAAGGCTGGACGGGAGTGTAACTCCCCTCCCTCCAACCATATCCCGGCTGACCAATACGGATATAAGTCCATCCATCGAGCGTAAGATCCAGTGGAGGCATACCACCAGCAGCGAGGGTGGTAGCCACGTCTTTATTCACCAACTTCTGAGACTCGGTAAGATCCAATCTCGGTCCCATCAACCTGAGCTCCAGGGCTAGTTCCTCAATAGCTTGTTCGGAAAATTCATAATCACGCATGGCTCTCGCAAGTTGGCCCTTAAGCTTTTCCAGCTCAAGAGTAAGTGCTTTGCTTCTTTGAGACTCCCTGGCAACCTTTTCGCACAGGAGGGTCAAAAGCGCTCCGTCAGAAGACATGCCACTGTCAACGAAATCCGTCATATAGTCAAATGCTACCTGCTCGCCCGTTAGGTCCGGCATAGATGACATAGTCTCGTGCATGTTGGACATATCGGGCTGATAGCTTCTCGATGGTGTTGCGGGTGGAAGTGATGGATAAGAAACAGTTCCTGGCTTGGAGTGCATGTCTTTGTCATTAGCATAATCATTGGAGGAAGGAACTTTACCCTCATCAGCCATCAAAACCTGACCGGAAGAGGAAAGGTTCACGTTGCCATCTAACTCCAGAGATTTAGACGTTTCACAATTGTGACTCTATAAATGCAGATTCTGGTTAGTCCCAAACTACTGAACTAGAGGAATGAATGAATGAACGAATGAATGGAATGGGATAAAAGCAAATATCAGCTTAGTCAAGGTGATCCAACGAGTAAACACAGTACCTTTGTACGAGTCAGGATGGAGTCTCCACTCCTGCCATCGCCGGCGGCCGGAGGTCCAGACACAGTATGCCCCTTGTGAACAGTGCTTACTTCACCCTCGGGGATCCAGCCGAGGCCTGATCTATAGATTTCATGGGTGGGTGGCAGTGGGATATCCCCGAAATAGAAAGCTCCCCTGTTTCTTCCAACCGGAACTCCACTTGAATTGGTACCATCTCCCTCCTTCTGGTTGAGAGGGTTAATATATCTCTCACCCAATGTACCCTGGACGCGCCCAACACTTTGGGGAGGGCCGGGAAGCTCAGAGTGGATTCTCTTATGCTTGGAATTATCACCGTACCCAGGATCGGGTTTGCGAAGATCTTGCTGAACATCTTTTGGTTCATCAAGAGTACGTGCGTTAGAGGACGAGGAACCAAGTGATTCCCATCTACCGGGACCATTTTTAAGTCGATACCTCCCCGAGATGGGAGGTCTGGCTGGGTTCTCAATAGTGTCGACGCCCTGAGACTTCTTAACAGGTATCAATGGCTCACGTCTAAAATCAGTGGGAGGGGTCTAAATATCGAATATCATCAGTAAAGCTCTTCAATCATTCTAAAGAAGCAAAGCGCCGAGGAAAAGTTTTTTAAGTGAGACAAGTGAGACGCCCAGGGGAATAGCTCCCCCGGGCGAATCTTTCACGTGTAAGCCACGTTTGCTCTGACTCAGCCGTCGTGACTTAACCTTAAATATGTCGGGTACAAGTGCTAACGGCCGTCGGAAAAATGTCCGTTGGGAAATGCCGTATAACCCAAAGACGATCAAACAAAACAAAAAAAAACATTGGGAGAAAACTCACAAGCCAAGAGGTTCCGCCACCAACCTCTCCACCACCCGCAATCTTCCCAGCCTCATCCTCCTTGTTTTTGTCAGTAGCCATTCCCGCTGTCGTTCCTTTATTGCGATCGCTGCGATGATGTTGTTGTTATCGTTGTCGAAGTTATGGGATGGAGATGGGAAGAAGGATGGAATAAGGAGGACGGAAGAAGGGAAGATAAAGCGTGAAGGCCTTGCGATTGTAATGCCGAGATGTCTCCCAAACAAAGCCCTGAAGCGATTGGAATTGCTACACATGGCGACTAAGCGTCAGTGCCATTTTGGTGATCTCGGCATGCGAGGGTTTAGCATCGTGACATCTCAATACGGCGAGGGCGGGGGCAGAAGAATCATAATAACATGCCGCAGATTCTTGGTATAGGAAAGGGCTTAGAAGCGAGAACTTTCCCTCTTGCATGACAAGGACAACATTATTCTATCAAAGAGAATCTCGGTCGGTGGTGGTTTAGGAGCCAAGTCTCAATCCCTCATATCGAGGTTTTGCTCATGCAAGTATGATGTGAAGGTCTATCCCACATCGAGAGTCTCCCGTACTAGACTCCCGATGTTCAGCCAGACCAAAAACCCACCTTCTGTGGTAATAATATATTCAAAACTTCCCAGAGTCACCCGAATTGGAACTCCGATGGTCAGCCAGACCGCGTCCCTTTTAGGAACAATATATCCAAAACTTTCCAGAATATGCCTTACCGCTGATGCACGAAAGTCTCAATATCGGAACCCGGTACTATGCGTCGAGTAGGGATTTGTTACAAGGACCGGGTAAGTAATATACAGCCCGCTGCTGGTGCTTCTGCTGCAATACCGCACCAAACAGCCAGATACAAGACCCATGTCAACAATCCCTATCTACTGTGCAAGAAACAAAAGGCAGAAATCCCCATACCCATACCCTACAAGCCCCCCCACCTTGATATACCCTACGATACCCCCTCCGCCCTTGACCCCTCCCTCCCTCCCTCAGTCAAACCCCATCCCCGGCAACACGTGCCCCTAAAAATCCAACAGCAATTGCGGCGCCAATTTCTCCAAATCTTCCACCTAGAAATTTCGCCTACCACATTAGCCATTACCATGACTGCAGAAGACGGCAAAAATGGTCTTCTAGAAGAGGAAGAAAAAGAAAAGAAAAGTCATGCCTCTAGAAAAGCGCTCATGTTCTTCAATCCGCCTTCGCCACCTTGCTCCTCCTTCCTTATAGCAGCAGCGCGCCAGATCGCCTCGCGCACAAATATCTTGGTATACTCCTGTACCACGTTCAACGCCGGCTGGGATATTCTGGTCTTTCGGTCCTCAAAGTTTTCCGTCAAGAGCCGTTGGACAAGCTGGGTGGAAAGTGGTTGCTGTTCTTCTGCTGGCATTTTGGGTTGTTGTTGCTGTTGTTGTTGTTGAAGGTCGTGCTAGCAGGGAAAGACGACGGACGGCAGATCGACGCTGGGTGGCGGAACCCGTGAAACGTGGTTTTACCGTTATGAAAAGGGAAATGAGGAACAATGACTAGTGGAGGAGGATTGTACTAGTACTGTACTCGTACGGTGATGTTGATTGGCCAGTGTTGCTCGTCTGGTAGGAAATGAGAGGAAGGAAAAGGGAAAGAATAGGGGTGTAGAGTATTACGGTAGTAACTTATGGTGTGATGGGCAGGAAGGTGAAGGGGGGGGGGGTGAAGTCATTCCCGCTAGCAGGCTAAAACATCCCGTCTAAATCCACAGTGAGGCTCACCGATGGACCGCTGTAACAGGGTTCATGATACCTTAGCAGGGAGCTTGATATCATCACGCTCGAGTAAGTTGTCACGATCTTTGCGCCGTACTGTACTCGTACCCCAGCGCTCGAGGACCGGTAAATCATGAAACCACATTTACCCGTAAAGTACAAGCATAATCCGCCATCAGATAAGCGATGGAGCTAAACCACAATAATTCAGGCCTGGCAGGACAAGTTAACGAAATTACGTATACCAGTTAATGAGAACCAGCAAGTTCAGCTTGCTCAAGCAATACCGCATCATACAAACACTGCTCCTTCCAGGGGGTCCCCCGTCTCCGAATGCATGTCCCAGAGGCCCGACAAAGATAGTAGATCGCACAACCACCAGTACCGGTCCTAGTACTGTACAAGTTCCCCAAATCCAAATTCCTAAGTGGTAGACACGTTCCACGACAAACCATCCTGCCCAGTACTTGTACTATAATAATATGAATGATTGAATAATTTCCGTTTATGATACAGAAACCAATAACTGTAGAAAACACCCCATCAAAATGAAACACACTTCTCATAACCTTGTGCAAAAATAATGTACCGGTAGAAGAAACAAAAAAGAACCCTTCCTCTCCTGCTCAGACATCTGTTCCGCACGCAAAAGGCCACACTTAAAATGCTAACCACACCGCCCGATCTTGACAAAGGAAATATGTACCTTGTTAGTTACAGCGCATCGAAAGCACCGTAAAATAACTGTATAGTGAACCTGTAGCTGTAGAACCTTGCTCGCAAAGTGGGCACAGAAAAGATAAAAGCGTAAAAGGAAAAAAAAAAAACGAATGGAACCCCCCAGCCGTAAGAAAAATTTTGAACAGGAACCTGTAATTGCCAACTCGACTTTGCCGGATGTAGTTCCGGGAAAGAAAAGGTGACTAGGTGAAAAAAAACAGTGCAAAGGTTACCCAAACACAAACTCCGCTCGTGTAAAAATCCGGACAAGGAAAAAAAAGCGCCAGCAATAGAAAAATGTAGAGTATTACTCTGGTAGATATGGCCACAACTATGATTGGATGGTGCTTCCTGTTTACCGTGTGGCCTTGCTCCTGGTGAAGAGATCGAACATGCTTCTCTTCTTCATTCTCTGAGCTGGGGCAGTCGCCGGGCGTCCGTCGCTCGAGGATTTTGCTAGGGCTGAAGGCAGTTCAGAAGGGGTATCATCGTCTTCCACCGGAGTAAGTTCTCCACTCGCGTCTATAAAAGTTGAAGCTTGCTTCTCGTGGCTCTGCCTCACTTTCCTGCTGGAACGGTGGCGCGACATGGACCTCTTGGTACTCCTATCCCTAATAACACCCGCCTTATCCGTAGTACCAGTCCTAGCAAGCTCTTCCTTCTCCATCAAATCCAACATGGTGAATCCGCCCATCGCGTAATTCGCAAAATCTGGGTCGACGAAACGGATGTAGCCCCTAGCGACTTCAACATTGAGATTATTGCTGACCCAATCACCGATCAACGCCGCATTTCGCTTGTTGCATGTCGGAGAAATCATGTTTAGGGAAGTGATAGTTAAGAGAAAGGATCCATCATATGTGCCCCCCATCACCATACAGGCCGAGTGTTCAATAGATACGCAGACAGCATCCTCAGTCTTTCCATAGCGTTTAGCGACCAGCTCGGATAATGACTTTGCGAAATCGAATTCGTTTTCTAGCTGCAGGTATCGCACCATGCATGTTAGCACGAGCAAAGCCCTACGCCAAAATAGCCGAGAAAAGAGAGGCACCACCAGCAAACAGAGAAGGAAACAAGGGAAAAATACAGCGCTATAGCATATGCAATGCACCAAGAAATTAAGCAATAAAAACGAACTCAAGAGAGGGGGGAAGTGGTATCTTTGTAGAGGAATCAGATACGGTTAAACGAGATGGTGCTTACAATGACGTTTGTTCGCAATTCAACCCAAACCGCAGAGCTCTTGGGAACCACCGGGCCCGACTCCCGAACGGCGAATACCTCCCCGTAGTAACTTGCTCCCTTCATGGACTTCTTCCTGCTAAAGTCTCCCTTCGAAGACTTCTTGGACAATCCCCCAGTAGCGGGGGAATCCTTCTCGATATCTCTGGTCGTAAAATGAATGGCGGTTGGGGATCGTGTAGATTCAGGTCTGCGAGTGACATCCCGATCATCACCTTGTTTGAAAGACATGTTTGTGGGAGCTGGTGAAGGAGGTGTTCGACCGGCCGGAAGCTGGGGGTTTTTCTTCGACTCAGAGTCTGCGGGTTTGGCTGGTTCTAGGGTTGCCATGTCTGAAGTTACTCGTGAAGCTAGCTAGATAAAAAGGTTTTTTGTTGAAGGAACGGAGGGCTCAAGTGAAGGATGGGGAAGAAGGTTGCTTTAAGAACGAAAGTTCTCTCCCCTGCTAAAATGGGTGCCCACGCGAGCGATATCGAGGCGAGGTGTGGATTGGATACCGGTATCGCAGACCCCCGAATTGCTATCTTAGCAAAAAAAAAAAAAAAAAAAGGATAAAATTCCAAACACTGAACGCCGAAGCTTTCCTTTTTTTTTTTTTTCTTCCCTTTCTTCCCCCTTCGAAGAGGTGGCAGGAGTGTCTTATGTAGGGCGGAGGAAGAGAGAAAAAAGCACAAGTCAGTTCTTATCCTCCCAAATGGTCAATTATTTGGGCGGTGGCTGCTACAAGGATGGTTGCTAGATGCTGAGATCCGGATCCGAGAGCAGGAGTGGGCGAGGTGGGCGCGAAAGAGGGTGTAGGGAAGAGCGTATGGGAGGGAGGGTAAGGTGGAGGGGGAGGGGCTGCAGTGGAGTGTGAAGGAAGGGAGCGAGCAGCAGCAGAAGCGTGAGACAAGCAGAGAAGTCGAGTGCCTTGAAGCCTGTGGAGCGAAAAAAGAATGAGAAGCAGAAGCGGGGATGGGGAGGAGGAGGGCACTGCACTTTCAATTACTCGAGTACTGGAAGCACTGTGCTCCTCGATCTCGTTTTCGCAGGTCTTGGTCTACTGAAGCCAAGCTCACTACTGCGCTCCATGTGCCTCACGGAATCTACTAGTACGAGTACACTACCGGTACCATAGACTAGGCCATTCATTTCCTCCTGGGCAGGGAGAGCGACTCGAGTACAGTTCTGACATAACCTTACATCCCCTCGCCATCTACGACCAATTATTCGGCTCAACGAGGAGTTGCAAGTATCATACAGTACGAGTACATTATGATATTTCAGAGCATGAAAAGCTAAGTCTCAATCTCAATTGAACCAGATATTTGCCTACCAGCCGACTGCGGGTCTGTGGCACGATATCACACTCCACCACAGCAAAGCTGCGAAAACAATTGCATTCGCGGGCAGTTAATTCCAAATCATGGCTGTGAATGTCATGACAGTTATCAGTCTGGTTGCCCTCGCGCGGTATCATGTCAAAGACCAAGTACCGGCACCATAACTCAAGTCAAGGCGCAGATGGAAAAGGATGGACACATGCGTTGAGCTTGCTCCGATTGGAGCAAAGGTCGACCCTTTGACATTGCCCCAAATTATGGCAAACAAAGGGAGGAAATATGATGGGGGGGCCTTTGCCTCTATTAGAGTGATCTTGGCAAGGATTGCCGACTAACTTTCTCGCAGCGGCGTCTCTGTGCTACCGGACTTGAGCGGTCAAGGGCCGGTACCAGTACCGAAAGTCCCAAGTTCCTTGCGTGTGAATGCCAGCTATTTTTTGCTCGCAAGTTCACAGTAGGAGTATCGCGCGTTCAACACAGTAGGGCATCTGAAACAAATAAGCACTATTATACTTGCATAATACGCTGAAAAATTCAGAGTTCTGACATACAATATCGGTATCACGATATAGTAAGCAGCCATAAGCTTATTCCTTTCACTGGAGTTCAATGACTTCTATTACGTCCTCGCGTAGAAAAATGAAATGCCGTAGAAAAAAAGACCACGGATCAGTGCTATTCCCACCAAAACACAAAATTCCGGGAAGCACGGTTATCCGTTGGGTAAGTAATGAATGCCGTATCCATCCCCGATGGGCCATGCGGACTGCGAGCCTTTCATCGCCACTTTCCCTACCCTCCATGTCGCCTCCCCGATCCCGGGTGCGGTCCCGAGTACTGTACAAGTACTCGAGTACAAATAAAAAAAGAAAGAAAGAAATACAGTGCAACGCCCCACAAGGTGGGGTCCTCCGTGAAACGCCGAATTGGTAGTGAACAGTGGCAACAAACATAAACCTCAAGGTTCGAAGTTACACATTCCCATGGTGAAAGTGCCGGCACGAATATGATGCCAGGATAATTTTGCTGGTATTTCCACCATGCGAATATCTGAGCACTAGTTTTAACTCTCTCCAACAATTTTCCCTTTTTTCTGCGAAAAAAAGGCTTGGTTATTCCACTCAAAGGTAGCTTCATCCTCTCAGCTTTATCCCTCTATGGTACAGTACGTTGTTGTCATCTACTAATTAGACATCGGCCTTTGCTTGTTTTGAGGACCCGGTTCGAGCCCATTCGCACTGTATGCATTTCCTGGGATTTCTCCAGGCTTGCGCTGTACGAGTACTGTAGAGTACGGTACCGTACCCAGCGAACGCACATATGCACCCCCCGTCGGACTTCGAATAGCGAGCCACCCTTTACGATAGAACCTCCTCCCTCCCTCCCTCATCCATCCCATCACACCCCTCAGCAGCGCAATAAGTAATCAAGTGAATAACAAAATATTAGTAGGGAACTCGGAGGCACGAGGCCTGTGAAAGTGCCTCGGCGCTACCGGTACTGAAGGTATGATACTCGTGCAGAAGATGTACTACTCTCATGCAATGCAAATTCCACACATAATATGATACTCGCACCAGTTACTCCAGCGTATGGTACAGTACAGTACTCGTATATTCTCACTTAGCCATTGACCGGACGGCATGCTCCTTTGTTTTGTTTTTTTGCTCTCCAATCGAATCCCCCCCCCCCCATCACCAAGCTCTTACGTTCCACGGTCACCTCTAGGACTCTTCTAATTGCTGGGCTGGGACAAAATCTAATTGTTGTATCTGTATCATACTCCGAGTGCTCACTCGCCGGTATAGGTAAGCAATACTACCTCACTCATTCATCCCCCACTCCAAAGCACCCTACCGCAAGCTGCCACACATGACGGCCTGCTACGATACAAAATGTCGTGCCAGAATATATACCGTACCTTATATGATACCGCACACACCACAATATTAGGTGCGATCTGACTTAGAGAGGGGGAGAGAGAGGGAGGAGAAAAATTGGCACGTTCACACAGTACGGTAAGTTTCTGGAAATAAGTGCTCCGCCGTTGGTTGGTTGGTTGGGGGATTGGTTGGAAGGGGGGAAAAGGTTTGTGAAAAAAAGGCAATGGATCGGTCATCAACATCTTGCGATCGGCTCTCTCCGGAAGCAAAATTTATTAAGGTACGGCAATGCACGGCATCACATACCGATACCCTACCTGCCTACCTACCTACCGAACCGTTGAGTTCTTTCTATATGATATAAAAAAGTATGCGGGATTGTGTGAAGCGAAGCTTTGATGGCTGGCGCAGTATCATCATCATACAGCACTCACTCGTGCTCTCCTCCTCCGGGGACATCATCGCAAACTCAAACGGTGTGGATGGATGGAGGTTCAGACCAAGCCAAAATGAACACGCGAAGGAGGGGAGGAGGGAAGGAAGGGAAAAACGCATGTGCCAATCCGTTCAATCGATCAATCAAGCTCACGACCCCGGTTTCTCTCTTGTGTTTTGTTGTCCCATGGCTTGCGACGACAACAACCGTGGACGGATATTTCTATTTGAGACAACGACAACCTACAAATAGAATACCTTTCGTGAAAGTCTTTCGAATTGGCTATTGGATGGTATTTACAGAAGTGGATTTTTCTTCTTCTTTCTTTTCTTTTCCAGTCTTTCTGTTCTGGTTGGGGCTGTGCTCGAGAGGTCTTCAAAAGTTCAAAGGGTCGGACAAGAAGATTATGGGACGGCAGCGCGGGTAGCTAAACATTTTCCTGTCTGCTCCAGTCAATCAATGGGTCTGCATAGACTATGAATGGGGTTTCGTACAAGTATGATACACTAAGTCTCGAACGGGGGAGAAAAAAAGCCTCCGCCGAACGGTTTAGCCAAAAGACAGACTTTCCTCATTAGATACAAGTCCACCACCACCAGCACCATCTTAGGACTGGCGTCCTCGATTCAAACTGAGACTCAGGGCAGGTTCTAGACTACCCGAGTAAGGTGTCGGCAGTCCATCTGAGCTGTACGAGTAGGTACCCCGCTTGTCACCGCACTCCCATGGCAATTTGGAGAGAGTGCCGGCACAGTGCTCGAAACTGTTGGAGGAAACACACAAACCGTACCGTAGATTGGAAACCTGGAAAATGTACCTCTCCATCATCACCTACGTGGTAGGGCTGAAGCGGTGAATTAATTATTTTTTAACTAAAAACCCTAGAATTCGTCGGACACATCCCAATCAGCGAGAGAGAAATACCTCGAGAATATGGGGCGTTTTTTTTTCCAGCTGGCTCTCACCCGGAGAAAAAAAAAGAAGAAAAAAAAGGTCCAGCTGAGCGGGGGTTGGGGGGGGGGGGGCATGTCCTGCTGGCATTGGAGAGAGAGGGGGGAGAGGAAGTAAATACTGTATCCATATGATACTATCTTGTTGGAAACCCCCAAAAAGGGCCCAATTACTTGGTCGAACCATGGCTTCTTCCCTCAACGATGATACATTTTAACTTTTAACTTTGTACGGTTACCGTGCAGTGGATAAAAAGCGCCACGCTCAGCCACTGACGCCGAAGCGCCGCTAGCTGCAAGATTTTTTACCCTATCAAATCAACCTGCAGCCACATTGCTGGGAAAAATACAACCGGTCAAGTTAGCGTATGCACTGTTACCACGGTATGATAAAACAACGGTAGACCAACTATATACTTTCTTTCTTCGTTTTCAGTAGTAATTGGAAACGAACAAAAGAATGTTTGTCAGTATCGATAGTACTGTACTACTTTTACTTACACTAAACTGCCTACCGTACCCAACTAACCCAAGAAGCGCACCATCATCATCATCCAGAACATTTTTAAAAAAGTTTATGATGATACCCCGCCATCATAGCTTATAATAGCTGGACAGCTAACTCTCCGGGTTGCGGTGGCGTTCCATCCGAACAAGGGTTCTCATCGAGATTAATTTAATATAAGGTAATTTAGAAACTCGGTGGTCACTCCCACTGAACATGCTCGTTTTCCCAAAAAAAGTTAGATTTTGGTGAGGGGGGCGTGATCGAGTTGGACTAACTATAACTAATACGGTAACCATAGTTACTATACTAATTAGCGGATGATGATAAAATACACCGGGTATCGAGCCAATCCTCCTCTCCTTCTCCATGCGGGGTCAACGAAATAACTCGAGCGTCTAAGAGTACTAATCAAACCAGCCTCATCGCTTTGTACCATACACTGTACTCGAGTAGATAGTACCGGTATGTGGTGGTTTTT